ATTTCAGTTTAATAAAATTCTTTAATAAAATGTGATTTTAAGGTAAAAATTTATTTGAAATAAACTTTAATCTAACATTAAAACATTTAAACAATCTCTGTTTAACGCATGGCACATTACGAGCTAAGATACTTGTGGTTAATAACAAGCTAATTGATTCCATTAAGAACATTATTTTAAATATTATGTTGATATATACCAAAATGTACACATTTTTTTGAAAAACTGAAGAAAAGTGGTGGCATAACTAACATGTGATTTCGTTTTTTTCTTTGATATGATATCTTCTCTTATTACAAAAAGAAAAGTTGTAATTTTTACTCACTTTAGGTGAAATTATAGTCATGCCTACATCACATGGATTTATTTCTCCCCCAGAAAAACAAGTAAAAAATAAATAATAAATTAACATTTGGTGTGTGTTAAGGGTTTGAAAGTATTTGTTGTGTCATTAAGGGTTTAATGACAACAGAAGCTTTCAGACTGTCAATAATGTAGCCATTTATGTACCTGAAAGCCTCATTTATCATTAAACTGACCTGCACGGTGTAATGTTTCTGCCTGACTCCATGAAAATAGAAACGGCTCATGATGTAAGTGCCTTCAGTTCTCACGGTAGAGAGAACCGAGCACCATTAGCTGCAACTCTCACATATTCATCCATCACAGAAAAAAAATAGACATCTGATGGTCAAAAGAGTCACAGCTGGGTTATTAATGAGTTGAGAAAGGAAATACATGTAGTGGAATCAAAAGACAGGCTATTCATCAAGTCACACATAAAAAAAAAAAAAAGTCTTGCATTTAATTAACGTATTTTTTGGCATATAAGTCGCATCAGTCAAAAAAGGGATAATGAAGAGGAACAAAAACATATGTCATTTTCGCGCATAAGTTGCATTTATTATGCATTTATTAAATGGTCAAAACAGCTTCATTTTGCCTGGGCAGCGCCATCCATCCATCCATCCATCCATCCATCCATCCATCCATCCATCCATCCATCCATCCATCCATCCATCCATCCATCCATCCATCCATCCATCCATCCATCCACCCATCCATTCATA